ATTATGTGTCATTCTGATTGAATTGTTGAGACTAATCAAATCTATTCAGTTCTAGCTCCTACATTATTTTTGTAAATTAAGTACATGTACATCACACAGTGTGCATTGTATTGTATAATTAAATACATATCCCAACGTTAAGTGGCTTTATGGAAAATAATTAATATTGGTCACATATTATGAAAATTTTAACAATTATGCGCATTTAAAAAAACATATACTTTTTGTACCCAAGTTTATGAGAGTGTTTTATTATTCTGCAGGTACAAATTATACTTATGATGTTTAGACTTTAAACACATCTGCTGTTATGTGTTTAGAATTTAAACACTTGTGTTCATGTGTTTAGATATGTTTAATTTCTAAGCACACAAGTGTTTAAATTCTAAACACTTTCTAAGACATGTTTAGGAATTTTACATGTTTAGAAATTAAACATATGAAAAAGGAGGTGACAAGAAAGTGTTTAGAAAAGTGTTTGAATTGTAAACACATTTCTTACAGTGTACTTTTGATATTCTTTCACACTTTGACAAAATATCACTTTTATTCAATGAATACATTGCAGTATTTCACCTTTGAAAATGTAATAAATTACATTATTTCACTGCTGAAAATATAATGATAGGTGTTTCTGTGCTGTTAATTACCATTAAGCTGCAGTGGAATTCAATAAGTTAACAACCTTGAAAGCATCCAATGAAACCCTTGGACAATTATTTATGCTATGTACCATTTAAATGCCAGCTGATAATGTTATGTAATACAACACAAGATATGGAGAAAAAAAACTTTTGACATGTTTTTATAAACGTGCAAATTAAAAATCATATGACTGTGGGTTTTGCAAGGTTTAAACCAATAATATCAATTTCAGACAGAAGCTATGTGCTAATGAACACTGTAAATAAAGGTTCACATGTAAATTAATAAATCATTGCTAATTAACATTGCATAAATTACAATCAATAGTTAAGAGATGGAAAGTTCTAGTCACTGCAGGATGTGCCCAAACTTCTAATGTTCAAAATTTGTTCATAAGATTCCAATTTTTTAAAACCAAAATTGATCGTCATTGATACTTGCTTTTGAAGTATTTGTCATGAAAATTATGTGCATTAAATAAACAGAGTTGGGAATCTTTGCATCATATTTGTTGGAAAAGTTTTGCAATCATTTTCTTGACATGGCCCACACAATATGTATTCAGTAAAAAAGGTTATAATTACGAAGTCCTAGGTATGGACGATTTTGGTTCTTTATAAACATACTTCGTTAAATCCCTTTAGTTAAAAATATATTTTAAAGCCAGGGGGAAGGAAAATAACTTTGCTGTAAGCATCAATACATTATAAGCTTGTTTGCTATAAGCGTGGTTTACTGTATTCACCTTGACCTTGTCACAATCTAAGATTAAGTTTGGCTGAAGTTCATGGCACATCAGGTAGACTCAAGTATGATGGCTAATATCAGCCTGTACACGTACTCCGAATGGTATTGAAATTTGAGCATTTGGCATTGCACACTTTTCTTGTCCGTGTACAAAATGGCAAAAAGACATATATATGTCTGAAGGTGGAAGCTAGCTTACGATTTTAGTAAGAAGCCCTGGTTTGAGGAAACCATTAAATTTGAAAAAAATGTATGTCAACTGAATTGTGGGGAGAGTTTTACTGTATTAAAAAGGCTGAAAACTTTCAGAAGAAAATGTTATGAACCACAGCTACCTAAAATTTTAAGTCTATTTATAAATATGTGTATTCAATATAAGAGAAATGACAGATCGTCAATAAGAATTGTTTCTATAAACATTTCTACAGTCTTGCATGAGTATAAATAAGTTCTTGCAAATAAAATGTGATTTATAACAGTAAACATTTTCAAACTTAAATATGCTTAATGTCCATTACATCAGATATCTGTAAAATTGAAACACCTCTACCTATATAAATATCTTTTTTTTTGCTTTTTTGACAAACATAAACTGAACTCGGTATTTTAAATTGTAACAATTTTTATTTATTCATTATTTTTCATATATATTATATATGAAATGTGAACAACAATATATTATTGTGCAGTACATCTTACACTGCTTTGTCATTAAAATCATATACCAAGCAGTTATTACAATTCATGCATGTATCTCGATACATCATACCTTATATTTGCACAACTGAATCTAGCAACAACTTGAATTTCATTCATTCTAAACACATACAGTATATCCTTAAAAAAAAAAAAACTTTTTTTTTGTATCTTTTTCCTTCGAAATTTCAAAAAGGGGAAAAGTTTATCACGAAATACATCTACTAGCAACTGGTAAAAAGATCAAGCATTAATGCATGAATGAGTGATATTATGTACTTGTATAGATTCTTAGTGAAGTTCAGTATGAAATGCAAACAATATTTTTGCACACAGATTTTATGAACAGAATACGATTCAGAAGTTTCTTCATCTCTGACTAGACTGGGAGTTTTGAATGAACATTTTATAGACGTCGCATCTTTCACTTAACAAGTACAGTCAAACCTTGTTATCTCGAACTCAATGGGGCTAAGAAATCAGATTCAAAATATTGAAGTTAAAATACATGTAAAAGTGGTCGAGACATCCCACTCGCTGTGACATAACCATGATATTCGAGCTTGAGATATCAATGTTTGTGAAACCAAAGTTTAACTGTTCATGTGTATTTCTGAGCTGCTAAATCATCACATGTGATATACATTGAATTTTTCTTTCCCTGTCTTTCATGATTGCAAGTTGTACTGCTAAACAAAACAGAGAGAACTTAATAAAGAAACTAAGCATAAATAACATCGCGGTTTGTTGTACAGAAAGAAAAATAAGTCGTGCATCTTAAGATCTCTAGACCAGTAAACATGCATGTACTGTGCAAATAGGATATAAATGCAAATCATAATGAATGCTGTCAGATACACTGCAGTATTAAGTTATTTCTACTTTGAAATTAAGCACAACCAAGAGAAAATATACATGTAAAATAGCAAACATAATTTGCCAGTCACAAGAATAAGGAAAATAAAAATACATAAATATCCTGCCTATTCTTAGAACTTTAACCCAACCAGTGAGCTGTCTTGTAGTAAAATGATTATCAGGTACATGTACTTCTAGTTAGAAACAAATCGAAACAAAGATGTTCCTAACCCCTTTCCATGAACAAAACCTCATTTCATTTAACCTAAAGGCTAGCAGGATAAGAATTTTTTTTATTTAATCAAATGTATTCATTCACTATTTATCTTGCAGTTATCACTCAATTAACATGACCTTTACTTGTGACCTTAATGATTTCAAAGCATCCTAAAAAACAAAACAAATTTGAGAAATATCCAGGAGATATCTATATATGGAATATTAAGGATTTCCGAATACATTGAAATGAAAATGAAAAAAAAAGCATGTTAAATTGTTTTTTTTTTTTTTTGAGGGGGGAAGGGGGAATATGAAAATGGGGACATTGTCAGTGGCCAGATCCAGCATCTGTGAAATACACTGAAAATAACTAAACAGCTAAATAGAGTGACCTATTTTTTGCATGATTCAGATGTTTAAAGAACAGATTATTCAGACTTGGATTAACTACAGGCTTATTTTTAAAAATGTTTCAGCTTTTTGTTTTGAATTCATAAAAAGACATTTGATGTCAAAATATTCTAGACTTTAAAATATACTGTAGACATCCTTTTTTCCAAGTCACATATTTTCTGCAAAAAAAATTGTCAAAGCATACTTAAAAAGCAGTTAAAACACGCAATGGCAATCTCAGAAATCCATCTAATTTACTACCCGCGGATTTAACAGAAAATGTGATTCTGCGAAACTATGACCTCACGGAAAAAGGTACATTTATAGTACATCTACTTTAAATTTTTTTAAAAAAAAGTTTTAAGAAAGTAAGATTACTTAACTTTGCCTTTTGAAATCCCTAATTTTAACGGTGAAAAATAAGAAAATGGGAATTTAAAAGATGGGGGAGGGGAGATAAAGTGTTAACTCTGTAGTTTCCATTTGTAAAATTTATAATCAAAAACATAACTTAATCATTTTGATTCAAAATTATTTCAATTATTATATAAGCCTTCTGTAATAAGCTGCTTAAGTAAGAAAGGAAAAAAAGGCTAATAAAATAACTATTATGTCTGACACACACAAAAAAAAGATAACAGAAAATTAAAACACGAATCCTGATGTAACATACAAAGACAGTAACTGCAGAATAAAACGGCAAGGTAAGTTGTTTTTCAACTAAATTCCATACAATAATACATGTTAAAATCTTAAGTACTCTCAGTACATTTTAAACATAATCCCCCTTTATTCTTAAAACTTATTCATTCATGTATAAATCATCTGTAAAACCTAACAATTTTTAAATTAAATCAAACACAAACTGAAAATTAGCCTATTCAGAGAAAGCACAAAAATCACTTGATTTCTTCAAGGAAAATCGTCCTCCGTTAAAGGGTTGGATCTTGCAAAAGAGGTCACTTTTTAACGTGTCAAGTTTACTCAACACGTTCATTTCATTCAGGAAGGTGACCCTGGAAAGAACCAAGCAAAGGATAGAAATAAACAAGCATGCAATAATTTAAAAAAAAATTACGCTAGTTACTGTGCTCTGAAAATTCCCTTACTTCATCCATACTGATTCCCTATGAACGAAATTCATTTTTCTACAACACTGTTGAGAAATTAAATTGTTGGAAAATCTATATTCCTACACAGGAAATAAAGATAGCTTTAAATCTGACACCATGCAAAATAAAAATTGTGCTACTACAATGTATGTTAGTTCTTAAATGTGTACCTAAGAACTGAAAGCCATTCTACTGTGCACCTTCTATACATGCAAAAAAAAAAAGTTGTTGGAAAGTCTATTTTAACATATAGACAAAGCCATGCTTAAAATTTCTTAAATTTCAAAGAATCTATTATTCTTATTTCATAAAAATTAGTAAAAAAAAACATTGTCCAGTTTGATTAGATTTTATTCAAACTATGAAATTTATGTACACAAATTCAGAAAAACTGTACAGGATTATCTGCATTGAATTGTATAACAAGGTACGCCAGATTTCAGGAAAACTATTATCCATAGGTAGCTATCATATCACAGTGTAGAAAAACATTCTCAAAATTTTTATCGTCTTCTTAAATATACTGCAACATTCACTTACAAACTTTTTTTTTAAAAAAAGTCCTAGTGAACGGTGCATTCAAGTATTACCTATGATTATGGGAAATAAATCTTTATTTCAAATAAATTACATTAACATCTGTCAAACATACTAAACAAAGAACCTTTTTGTCATATAAGTATATAAATATAATGCAATGTTTCCTTTTGAAGGCCCTAACAATTGCAAATTTTTTTTTCATTGAAAACCTTACAAGGAATAATTTTCATTAATGAATCACCTTACCGAGACAAAATAGCAGGAATTTTAATTCCATAATAATATGGTTATAAAACTTGAAATAAAATACTAGTATCATAAAAATACTTCCCCAAAAAGGAGAACACTAACAGAAAAAAAAAAACATTTGGAACAAAATTACTCGGCTACTTGCATATTCAAGTTGATAGTTTAATAATGAAATTCCTCGATCATCTCCCTTGGTGAGATGATTGAATAATCAAAAGGTCAAAGGTCACAGGTTACACCCTCATCTATTGTGACAATAGCATAATTCAGATGTACAAACATGGCGAACAGTACCTGTAGTAGGAGGAGAGGTGTTCATTCTGGGCATTTCACAACATTCACACTTATTCAGAGCTGGATGGTTAAGAAAAGTACAGGCTGAGCAATTCCAGGGTTCACCGTCACCATCCGAGTCCTGCTGGGGCTGGGGTGGTGGCGCTGGCGGTATCAAGGCAGTGGTTGGCGTGGTGATCGGCGTCCGAGGAGGAATAGGAGGTGGTGCTGAAAGAGTCAATGACAAGTTTTTGCTATAAAATAAATAATATAAGGAACATTTTAGAGTCATTTATTGTGGTGTCATTAACATGTATTCTCCACCAAAAAAAAAAAAAATCCCCCAATATAAAGCAATCAAACTTTTCTAAAGAAATAGGAATCAAATCTAAGCAATGTCAACAAAATATCCATTTAAAATTGAAAAATTATGGTTGCAAATAATCGGGGTTACTTACTTTCTCGTGAAGGGGTCTGAGGGGGAGGTCTGGAATAAATGGATCCCTGGGGACCAGTATTCATATTGTTATAAAAGTTCTGTTGTTCTAACGGGTCTAAAACACCAAGTGGAGCTAAAATATCAAAAACAGTGATTAATGTTCTCTGCTTTTCAGCAGAAATTTACAATAAAGAAGTTATTCCTTCCAAGATGAAGACTAATAATTTTTAAGCTTGTATTTCCCCAAAGCTTAATATCAAAATACATGAGCACCTGATCGTATCAGGTTTGATTATTAACATCAGAATATGTCTGTATTATCATTCTCTTAGTCAATACTATTTTTAGAACATGACTACTTGGTCTTTTCCCAGTGTGAGTCATATGTTCTTATACATGTGCTATCAGTACTAATCACAGAAGGTCAAGGTCATATTTTAAAAAACTCAGCAGCCTTGTAGTTGTATTACATGCAAACAGATCTTTTTATCAAATAAACATGATCTTACTTTGTCCATTGTTATACATGTCAATCTCCCTGGTCATCACTTGAATGTCCGCCTGTAGACGCCGATTTATCTCCCTCAATCGAGTCACATCTTCAAGCTAAAATTAGCAACCAAAAAAAAAGTTTTAAGACTCTTTTTTACAGCAGATATACATGTATTTCCATGTATTTTTGGAAGTTATTAATTATTGAAAGATATTTGTAATCACATGGTAATTGAAAGATATTTGTAATAATACCATGTGCTGTAAAATTCATACATTAATATACAGGAATAACAGGTCCAAGAATATATGATACCATTTCAAGATTCTGTAAAACCTCATGTAATGAATAATGAATTACAACAAACATGACAAATGCATTATGAACATTGCATATACTGTCCAATTTTATTCACATAATCTGACAGTCATTAGAAAGAAAAGAACAAAAGTTCACTTTGAAAAATGCTATGGTTTTTAAAGGATGCCCTCTAAATGACGTTCTATCTGTATAATGATAATGTCTAGACATTGCACAAAGTTCGTTAACTTGAGACAACAATGCCTGTCTCGGTAATAACTCCTGGATTTTCATCAGAGGTAAACCTTTTATATTATTATGTTAAGAATTCTGGTTTGGGTTTAGCATCAGTAACCTAAGACTAGGATTGATAATTACAGTTTCAAAATGAGGGTAACTAGCTCTTTTGATAATCCATTTTGATTAAAATTGCAGTTTTTTGCAAAAGCTAGATGTAAATTTGTTACGTTGCAATTTCATAAATGTGAGATTTTTTTTGGAATATTTTGTTGCTAAAAAAATTGTACCTACTCAAATATTTTTAGAGACATATATATCAAAGAAATTTGCCATGGGATGTGTTTAAGGCAGGTATTTCAAATGGTATCATATATTTTGGGACACCCTGTATATACATATTTATTACTCAGTCCTGCTTAAAACTGCAAAATAACAGCTAAAAGTTGTGAATAACATAGAAACTTATAATCTCTCTTTAAAACAGTATTTCTTGCAGGAATTCCACGTTTTTAAAGAAAAATTAACAGAAACATACGAGCATATTATTCAGAACGCAGCAAAAGTTAAAAGAAAGTCCATATGATAATAGTACATATTCTCTTTGTTATGTTAGAGCAGATGAGTACATGAGAACCTACAGGTTGCTGATTATAGTAACTCTTATTCTTCTTCCTCTCCAACATGTTTTTCTCCATCTGTTTGACCTCTGACCTTGTTTTTATCAGTTTGCGAAGTTCGGATTCCAAGTCTTGCTTTAGATTTTCCATCTTTTCTCTTTGAAATTTCAAAAGTGCTGGAAAAACACCATGGAACAAGGAAATCATTCAGAATACCAGAACAGTAAACTCGGTGCAAAAAAGATTCAATATGATCAACATCTATGATTTACAAGGTCTATGATAAGACAAGTTTTAGTCTGGTCATTGGTTATAATTCCTTTGTCAGACACATATCTTTTCTTTGGAATAAGGATTGCAACTTACAAATGTGTATGTACATGCAAAAAGATATGGCTAGCTTACAACATCTCAAAATGAAAAATAAAGGATAAATTTCATATCCTACCTCTAGTATAATCAGCCTCCTCCTGTCCCCCTGCTGATTGAGGTACCGACCTGTCCACTCGAGTGGGCTCTGTGACAGCTCCTATACTTACAGGAGGAAACATCACATGAGGATTTGCTAAGTGTCTTTCCTCTATAGGGGGTGTAGGATTTGACCTACGATCACTATCCGAGCTTGGAGTCCTTACATACACATGGGGATGCCCTGGAATCACACACCGGTTTCCGGGATTCATGACATATGGATGTCCGAACATTTGATCTGAATCACTAGCACCACCACTCACTTGATACACTTGATAAGAAGGGGGATTGACTGCACCACCTATATTTAAGACAGGATCTCCATATTTGATATTAAGATATTGTTGGCCATTTATGTGAGGCACACTGTCTGATGGCAAATAACGATTGTAATGTGGTGAGCCAGGGTTATTCACTTCTGTATCAAACACATTAACTGATAAGGGAGATCGATGGGGGATAGTGGGATTACTATGACCCCCTGAGACTGAATCCGGTTGGGATATGGGAGGATAAGTAGGGGGCAAATTCGAGTCACTCTGAGATTGATGCATACCGTAGTCTCCCATTGTATGTTGTGTTCGATCTGGCGTAGATGGCGCAGGCTGCAAGAAAATTGTCTTTTGCGATGAGTGTTTTTCCTGTTGGGGGTTTGTTGGCGAGTTAATGATCTGCTTTGAAGGGGGTGCAAACTGAAGTGCTGCACCATGAGAGTCATTATGGGAAGTTGGCACAGGGGGCACTGGTCGACGAGTTTTTAGGTTTTGGCGATCTAAACTGTTGAATCCAGTTGCACTATAATTATTAATATTTCCTGTATTCGTTCTACCCATCGTGTGGTTACCATAAGAGTTTTGCTGTCTTTGATAACCAATCACATTATGTCTATACTGGTCTTGCTGTCCAACTCGAGGACTTATCTGAATTTCAATCTGAGTTGGCGTAGGCCGCGAAATTACAGATGGACCTTGGTGGTGTATCTGAATCTGCCTCAGAGGAGATGGACTTGAAGTTGGTGGATTTTGCACTTGAGGGTAATTATATCCCATAGGCACACGCCCACCATCTTCACATGGAATATGGGGAATACTCCTATATGGTTGTACATGTACATACTGATCAAAGTTCCCTGTCTGGAAAGACTGAGGCCTTGAAGCTTCACTGGAGTAACCCTGGTAACTTTTGCCTCCATTGGGGTTAGTATAGGGAACTGATGAAGAACTAGACATGCTGCATGTGCTTGTGCTGCTAACACCACTAGATCCCGAATCGCTTCTCTTGCGGCCTTCAGAAGCTGGAGTTAACTGAATCTCTTGATAAGATGTGTGAGTTGGAGGAGTTGGTCCAAATAGATAATTGTCATTTTCACCATCCAGGACTTCTATGCATTTGGCTCTGTCATTTTTATGCTGAAATGTAGTGTATCATATTTGTAGGGGGAAAAAAAATTAATTATCCTTATATACTTGCTTTGAATATATACTTCTTTGCTATATTCACCATAATTTGAAACATCAAAATGTGAAATTTCCACCTATCATGCTAATGAACTTTACAATACTAAGTTCAATTTGTTTAAAATCATTTTATTGATGAAGACTCTGAGGTGCACCACCATGGGTCACACACAGGGCTTTCCTTTTTCAGACATGTATACAATGCATAAACAATTCAAACATCTTAATAGAATAATTCAACTAAAATCTTACCTGCTGCATTTTACTTGTGACAACATAATCGGGAATTTCGGGATACTTCTTTTTCAGTTCTTGGAATAACGTCACGTTGATGTTAGGTTCAACAGTTGCCATTCTTCAGAGCAGGCATCTGTCACATCTTAAAAACACAAAAATATTTAACTGTACTTCATTCTTTATCTCCAATTTCTGATAAATTCAAACAAAAACAGCACATGCAAAATATATTTGAACTGAAATTCAATGAAATTTAATCACATGTTTTTAATGTGCATACGTTATAAATACCTTGAGCTATCACATAATACATGTTCAATGTATTCCCCTAAATAAAGAGTACTATAACGATGCTAACATGTCTAACTCTGAAGATTTTTGCTTTATGAATTGTGAAGCCATAACCATCTTTTGCAGATCTCAGAAAAGATGTTTTCAAATAAATTTAGAACTTGAGTGTTTGGTTTTTATAAAATTAAGGATGATAACTTAAAATGCGGATTGTTTGATTATGTTATCCCAACTAAATGGTCTGGACACTTCAGATTATTACGTTGTGCATTGGAGGATACTTTTAAACTTTGATCAGAATGATAATTTATTTTTACAATTAATAAAATGTGGCATAAGAATATATATGACTCCCAAGTTACCCCCCCCCCTTTTTTTTTTTAATAATTTTGGGATAAAAAAATGAATGCAACAACATCAATTTAAAGAGGTGTCACACCCTTCTTATGAAAACACAACAGAATACAATACGAATTAACAGACATTTTTATCACCAACTTCAGTCACTTCAAATAAAATAACCTACTGAACTTACGATCACAAGAAGCACAATTAGCACAAGTTTCTCACCAAACTGTTAATTCAAAACCATTTAGTCTCCATAATGAGTCACTTCCATGACAAATAATTTAAATCAATATAGTCCTCCTGCGACCCTAATAGTAATGCTTATGAATGAAGTTGATTTACACATGAGTGAGTCATATCTATGTTTGACAACAATAGTAAAACTCAGGTAGTGTCCTACTATTAAACATGAGAATTTTACTGTTACAATGCATTGATAACAAATATCAAGTACCTGTTACAGAGGAACACCTTCAAACACAAGGAGGCTATGAGATATGATACTACATTACTTAACACAATTAAGAAGACGTGGGTGTTTGCACAAACACAGGTGTAACTCAATGCAACACCCTTTTTACATAATCGTGTCTACTATTATAAAAAGCACTATACACGAGGCTTAATTGCATTTAAATAAAAAACAAAGAGCAATGATCTAAAAATTATGTTGTCAGTGATAGATCAAACACTAAACATCATATTTGTCAATATAACCTCCCAAAAATGGACACAGAAGTTCCGTATTTTGTTTTGACAAATGAGGTCAAGAGAGCGACGTCAGTTCACAAGGAAATAAAAAAATATCAGAAAGTAGTCGAACACAGGGATTACTATACATCAAAGTATGGCATCTCGTTTGTCACAGTAACTTTGCTTGCATCAGCTGTCTAGCATTTGTTATTTTTTTTTGTCGAGACAGTGAAAAATAACAAGTTTGACATTGCAAATTTGGCCTTTCACCTGCACAAAATAATTTTTACTTTTACCTACCGAAATAATAAAAACATGTTGCCCTCTGATTTAGTGTATATCATAAGACGAGAACAAAACCATGACAAAATATCGGGTATTTTTGCAACGTTCCAACTTCCTATTCTGAAATATTTGCTGTAATGGCGGACACAGGCGCCTGCGCATTAAACACCATCTTCGCTTATTCCGGTGAAATGGTGAAGCTTTTTGCCCCATGACACCCTATAAGACATTCTAAAGTTTCTCATTCTATGTATATCATAAAATGATAACTATTGATAATTAAAAATTGTAGAAAATATTATTTAAAAAGGAAAAATCAAATGGTAGAGTATAAAGCATAGGTAATTTTGTTAAAAGTAAATATAAAGATTAGACGGCGACAGGTGGTTATGTCCCATATATTCGTCAGACCCGAGTGGTTAGGACCCAAATATTGTCGACCTAATATCTTAACATTCTCCAATACAAGTAAATGTGCTATACTAAAAGTGTAAAAAATTAATAGGAGATTATTCGTTCGTTTTGATTTGTTTTTGTTTTGTTTTGTTTTGTGTGTGTGTGTGGTGTTTTTTTTTGGGGGGGGGGGGGGGGGGGAGGGGGGGGTTACATATCAATGTCCACTGAGAAAATGTAGTTTGAAAAAATGTACATTTATTCAAATCATTTGTGATATATATTTATTCTAAATTTAAAAAGTACAGTTCACTCAATTCACTTCAATTCGTTTATTTACCCATCAGAAGGCAATAAAAAGTACACGGTACATACATATACTCGTTTAAGTTCATGTACATGTATGCAATACAATATACATATGTACATACATACATGAGTGAAAGAGTTGCATAAAGGATAGGTCCAAAGGAAGATATGAAAGGAGATATATTGATTATAATTTATAATGATATACTAGTAATTCATCATAATACAGTTCAAATGCCTGCTATGGAAACTTATGCCAATGCCGTTTGTAAGAATCTACCAAGAGAGTTTAAATTTATCTAATCTTCACAATTTAATATCCAAGATAATTTTTGTTTATTATAGGCAAATTAAGTAAAATGTTTTACCTTAGATATGAGATTATTATTTTTTTTATTTATTCAATTTGACAAAAACCACATGTGGCGCAAGTCATACATACAGTAAACAAATATATAGTCACACAGATTTTCTTATATTAAATGCAAATACGTATGAAGTTACAAATATTTCTTGTTGATTTAACATCTGCTGGATTAAGAATTTCGCAAGATATACATGTATTGTTAAAAAGTGTACAAAATTCACTTCTTAGTTGTTCATAAAATGGACATACAAATAAAAAATGATGTTCATCTTCAACAACAGTTTGACAATTAATACAATATCTTTCATCTCTTGGTATAATTGGGTTACAATATCTGCCAGCCTCTATCTGTAATTTGTGGGCACTTATTCTTAATCGAGTTAAAAAAAAAAGAGCGAAGATTCTTGGAAATGAAAAAATTTAAATATGGTTGAATTTCAAGTTTGTTTAGATTTCCTTGACTTATTAACTGGCTGTAGAATGATAATTTGCCATTACCTTTTTCTTTGATATGTCTTATATCCCTAAAAACTATATTCTCAAAATACTTTTTCAAATTATTTTCAAGATCATTTATTGATAATGTATTAGCATTTGAACCAATAACTTCATCAAGTATAGTTTGTATACAGTTTTTCCAACATGTTTTTCCATTTCCTGCAAGTTTTTCATCCTCTAAATATGCATGTTGCAAAAGCAAGTTTGAGTTCTCGATCTGAAACAATTTTCTGTAATCTGTAATAATATCTAAATAATAATTTATATATTCTGAAAATAATGCATGAGAAGTGCACCAAACTCTACTCTAACTGCTAAATTAGAATCTTTATTATGGACACCTTAAATGTCTTTCAAGATGAAATTTTGAATTTTTTCGAATGGAGTTTTATCAAAGTCTTTTATCACTTTTTTAAAATCACTTATCCAGATTTCCAAAGCATAAGTCAAAATTGGCATAATGCATGATTCATATATCTTAAACTGAGCCTTTCCTGAGAGACTAAGATTGCTTGGTAATTTTGATTTGATTGTAAAATATGCTTTCCTTGCTCTACCTGCTAAATTCTCGCATGCATATTTCAATTTACCATTATTTTTTTGAGGACAACACCCAAATATTTATATTCATCAACAAAAGCAATAACATCTTCTTTAAACTTCATTGTTTTACAACTCAATTTTTTACGGTTTTTACTGGATTAAGTTAGATAGTTCCACCCTTTCTTTTGTAAAATATGCTACATTTAATGAGAAAATGTTCTTCATCTTCAATTTGATCAAACATACAATTTTTTGCATAAAAATTCTTTCTGTTCTAGATATAGTGTTATATCTGCCTATTTCTATGAAGAGTCTATGTTCTGATACACGTAGTCTACAAACTGGCTTCCTGTATTTATGTGAGCTATTTTTCCAGTCTTGAAATTAATTGGTCTGCAAAAATAAATAGTACTTAATGGTGCCATGGAGGAGTGAGCATCCTCTGCATGCCGACCGGTGTCGCATAATATTTGGTCCGTCTGTTTAAAAGTCCGGGGGACCTAATACGATAACATATAAGGTCCGCCTTTAATAAGAAAAGGCTCGCCTATACGTTCACGGCCACGGTCACACCCGCCGTAGGCTCCTTGTCATGATCGGGGGAAACGGAAAAATCCGTTGACAACTCAGTATGTAAATAATGACCTAACAATTAGTATGAAAAACACCAGTCAGCATATTTGATAGGTTGTATTTGCTGACAAGGTCATTGTATCGACCATAAAACTTGCGAAATGATGACTTCAAACGAAACTGTTGATATCCTTGTTTTATCAACTTGTTTGTCAATGGCTTGTCTCGTTTTAGAAATTGTTCATAGGTAGAACATATTCTTGCGTATCGAATCAACTTGGAGACAAAAACCCCATATGCAGGTGATAAAAGTATATTGCTACATAAGTAAGGGAAGTTGACGATTGAAAGATTAAAGTCATCACGTTTATCATAGAGCTTTGTTGTTAGGTTACCATTAAAAGTCTTTTTCTAATAAAATATCCAAACATGAAGCAGATGTGTCAGACTCTGTGGAATCTTTTATTTCACTGGGATATATCGAGTCGACATATAAATGGAAGTAAAGTTCTATTACTAATTGATAATACGTCGTCGATATCTAAATACATGTATATATAAATCGAAAACGTTCAAAGAATATTCGATTCGCATGTAGTAAACTGATGTCCAATAACAAGGCTAATATGGTAAACATTTGACTACTAGTATCTAAATTTTAATGTTACAATGATTGATTGAAATAATTGTTTTATTCAGCTGTTGTTGCAACTGTGAATAAGGATTCAACAACTGAATATAGATATACCCTGGACCTCAAAGAAAACTATAAGGTGAGTGATTATAGATATACTCTTGACCTCAAAGAAAACTATAAGTTGAGTGATTATAGATATACCCTGGACCTCAAAGAAAACTATAAGGTGAGTGATATAGATATACTCTTGACCTCAAAGAAAACTATAAGGTGAGTGATATACCGGTAGATATACCCTGGACCTCAAAGAAAACTATATGGTTAGTGACACAGATATACCCTGGACCTCAAAGAAAACTATAAGGTGAGTGATTATAGATATACCCTGGACCTCAAAGAAAACTATATGGTTAGTGACACAGATATACCCTGGACCTCAAAGAAAACTATAAGGTTAGTGACACAGATATACCCTGGACCTCAAAGAAAACTATATGGTTAGTGACACAGATATACCCTGGACCTCAAAGAAAACTATAAGGTGAGTGATTATAGATATACCCTGGACCTCAAAGAAAACTATAAGGTGAGTGATTATAGATATACCCTGGACCTCAAAGAAAACTATAAGGTGAGTGATTATAGATATACCCTGGACCTCAAAGAAAACTATATGGTTAGTGACACAGATATACCCTGGACCTCAAAGAAAACTATAAGGTTAGTGACACAGATATACCCTGGACCTCAAAGAAAACTATATGGTTAGTGACACAGATATACCCTGGACCTCAAAGAAAACTATAAGGTGAGTGATTATAGATATACCCTGGACCTCAAAGAAAACTATAAGGTGAGTGATTATAGATATACCCTGGACCTCAAAGAAAACTATAAGGTGAGTGATTATAGATATACCCTGGACCTCAAAGAAAACTATATGGTTAGTGACACAGATATACCCTGGACCTCAAAGAAAACTATAAGGTGAGTGATATACCGGTAGATATACCCTGGACCTCAAAGAAAACTATAAGGTGAGTGATATACCGGTAGATATACCCTGGACCTCAAAGAAAACTATAAGGTGAGTGATATACCGGTAGATATACCCTGGACCTCAAAGAAAACTATAAGGTGAATGATATAGATATACCCTGGACCTCAAAGAAAACTATAAGGTGAGTGACTATAGATATACCCTGGACCTCAAAGAAAACTATAAGGTGAGTGATTTAGATATACCCTGAACGTCAAAGAAAACTATATGCTGAGTGATTATAGATAAACCATTCTATCCTTTGAATGGCTATTCGAATACCAAGCTTTTTGTTAGTACCCAATGAAATTTTCATTTCATACTTGACCCTATCTTTGTTTTTTTTTTCTTCATTGGAAGCAAATGCTGCTTGTTGGATGCAAATAAAATGAACTAAATTTGTCTTCGAAACTGCAAGCATAGAAACGGCTTCCAATACTTTCGAACAAATTTAAAGTTACATGTAACCGGTTTCCAATAGATCTGTCATATAGACTTGAAAAAACATGTATAAACTTGTTTGCTGTAGAAATAGGTTTAAAAATTCTACATCATAATATAATCAACAGCAACCGAAAACAACCCTACTCTTTCAAAATAAAAATAGAATGGCATTTTTGCTTAGATATTTTGTCGTACAACTGATGGGTTGCACGATACTTTTTAGCTCACTTGAGCCGAAGGCTCAGGTGCTGATCGAAGGGTGTCCGACGTCCGTCTGTCTTCTGTAAACTTTTCACATTTTCGACTTCTTCTCAAGAACCACTGGCCCAATATCCACAAAACGTGCCACAAAGCATCCTTGGGGAACTTAAGTTTATTCATTTGAATGAATTGCCTCGCCATTTTTCACTGGGAGATAATAAAGAATAAGTGAAACTTTAGTAGCATCTTTTAAACATCTTCTCCAGAACAACAAAGCCATGATTAGTCATATTTATTTGGAAGCATCCTAAGGTAGCGTAGATTCAAGTTTGTTCAAATCATGACCCCCGGGGATAGATTGAGGCCACAATGGGCAATGAAAGTTTTACATAAGAATATATATAGGAAATCTACTTCTGAAGAACAGCAAAACCATGATTAGTCATACGTGTATTTGTATGGAAGCACCAGGTAGTGTAGATTAATTTTTTTTAATAATGAATTTCGGGGTTACGATGGGGCCACAATAGGTAACAAAATTATACGTAGGAATTATATGGCCACACTGACTTAGGTGAGCGATGTGGCCCATGGGCCTCTTGTTTTGTTTTATGACAAATTCTAGATCATTAAATCGGGATGGGGGTGTTGAAATACACATTACCTATAATTTAAAAGGGAAATAAATAAAATATTTAGTTTTTCTCACAAATTAAATTTCAAATTTTATAAAATGTTTGTTTTAAATGATAATATTGCAATTTGAATCTCTGCATAATTTATAATCTTATATGTATAAATAAATTCCTGAAGTGTTTTGGGGAAGCGCTTTCCGTTTGGTAAAAGTTAACAATCTATCTTAGAAACAGAGATCAAAACGTACGGAAATATTCCTGCATTTTTTGGAAAGGTTATGTTTTTATTAAGCAAAAAATATTAAAACAGACAATAAAATCGTCACGATGGGGAATTTTTTTTTACGGTTCTGTATATATCGACTCATCCAATTACATTACTGTAAGTAATAACTGTACTTGTTCATGTAATGTAGACTGGAGACACGCCCACAGAAATTTATACGAGAAGCCCCCAGGAATGTGGAGTGGCTCTGGAAAGTGGACAAACCACCCCCCCCCCCCCCAAAAAAAAAATGACTGGGAACATTTCCTATACTTCATTATAATTGGTATTTTTAATGTATATTATCCAATGTACATATGTAATTTCAAGGAATGATTTTGTATTTCAGGCTACAATTCGAATGGTGTACCACAAATCGGTGCGTGTGGTTATATAAAAAGTTATGACGAAAATCCTCCACCCACTCCAATGTGTGCATAATTGTCTTGCCTTAGATAAAAAGAACTGAATAAAATTAAAAATGAATTTCTTGTGTTTTTATTTTGATTTTTCTGAACGCAGAATCATGATTTTCAGTACGAATGTTTATAGATCCTCTTTAATTTATGAATCATTAAGGCCTAATGCATCCCCGTCAAAGAGAAGATTTTTGGGTATTTTTTTGATTCGCAGATTATATATTAATAATTTGGTTTGGCAGTCTTCAACTAAGATTTACACCGATAAATATTATTTTATAGACATTGCTATTCTTTCTATAATGTTGAGGGGTACCCACCTCTTACATGTATCCCCAACTCCTCCTATACCACTGAGTAAAATTCATTAATACTTTCATAGAATCTTTATTACACAGTGCCATTGTGCACTTCCTTTTTTACCTTTTGATCGGTCACACATTTTGGGTCTCCCATAGCAAAACATGGACTTTGCCATTATAATCATATGGGAGGCGAGGGGTATCATGTTGTGAGGTCAGTGCACACAGTACCTCCAAGTTTGTTTTAAAAATTAATTCCCCATGAAAATTATATTTAAATAAAATATGTATTTTAACCAGAATGAAGTTTGGACATCATAAAAATCCACCCTTCTGTAAAAGCAAACATTATCCATGATTGACCTTAACTTCAAAATAAACATCACTTGCAGACAGAGGTGTTAATTAATCTTGATGTAAAGATAGAGATCAGACTCTAGATATTCTACGGACGAGTTAATTAACCACAGGAAACTTATAAAAGCTTTCATGAACATTCTCAGCAGTTATCTCTCTTTGCCCATTAATTCTTGCATAAAATTACGAATCTACACCAGCTCCAAACCGGATACTAGACACATTCAGAATCAAAATTAGTATCAAAACAAATCTTACTGCCTATTCAACCAACATACCAATTTTAAACTTAATAGGACAACCATAAAAAAAAATTAGAAAAAAAAAACAGTCAGTGATTACTATAAGGTACACATAAATCCTTGCGTGGCCCTCATTATTCCCCCTTTCCAATATGTGCATAAAATTGATATATACCTAATGTGGCAATCCCTGAGAAACTTGGGATTTTTTTTTGCCTTGTCTATCTGTATTTAAGTTAGCATGAACGTAACTTGAAACCAAATCCCTTAAAATGAACAAACACTCATATATGTATATTAATATCTGTTTTGCGTATTTATTAGATTTTCTTCCATTTATCACATTTGTTTCTGGAAAACAGAGTCTATCATGTATAGGGAGATACATTGGGAGATCCCCATCAGATAACAGAATATTTCAATACGATTACTTAAATGTACAGTACTTAAAATAATACAATTAGATGAACTGTCAAGATTCTTTTTTCATTAATATGCTTATCCATCCAAGGAATTCCCTTCCACAAGGTACGTAGTGTTCAATGAAAAATGGAATGCCATTAACTAAACAATTTGTATACCAACCAAGAATATTATCAATACATGTGATATTTAATTTAAAACAATGCCAAACAAAAGCCCATGCAACTGGCAATACAAGAACATTTTGCCCGATCACAACAAGGAGCACACGACAGGTGTGACCAGTCGACAGGGGATGCTTACTCCTCCATGGCATCTGATTCTATTTTGGATGTTTTCAGATGTCCGGTTTGCTCTGCTTTAAAATTACGTTGTTCCAAGGAACTTTTGATCTTGATTACTGTTCATTTTCTTCAAATTTCATTAGAAAATCAGACTTTTGTCGGGATATGAGCAATATTGCAAGATATGATAAGCAATATATGGTTAAGTAACAAACAAACATCAGTATTTATTAGATGATTCTTTTCACTAATTAATTAATATTCAACCAAATAAAGTCTGGTTACATGTGTATGTAGAGCAATTAAAATAAACCCTAAATCACATCAGACAATAAATTCTATAACATACAGGACTTGTACATATATTTTGTATTACTGCCTAAAAGACTGAAAATTCAGCTAAAAAAATGGTCTTCTTCAGATTATGATGTGTTTGCTCAAAAAATATATTATTTGATTGGCTACATAAAATTCTATCTTTTTATTCATATAAATCGTATATCGTATTTCTGCAGCAGTTCAAAAATATTTTTTGGCAAAATATCTTTTAAAAAAATATTAATTAATCAAAGTTTATTTAATTGATTTATTCCACAGAAATTAAACTACCTTGCATGGTTTTCTTTAAACATTTTGTTTTAAAAGAAATGGTTAAACCCCCCCCCCCCCCCAGTTTTTTTCTCCTTCAAAAATTCAAAGGAACTTAAAAACATTAAAAGGAGACAAATTTCAAGAATTTTGCTAAAAATCTAAACAATCAGAAAAATCAAAACACCACCCCCCCCCCCCCCCCCAAAAAAAAAAACCCCACAATAATAATAAAATGCCCTTCTTAAGCATTAATCATCACAGAAGTACACAATATTAATACAAGCTGCTCTTGTGTGAGATTTGTACTTATAGATTCATAAAACCATTACCAAGACACACACATGCAGAGCTATTTATATACAAAAAGGAATTAAGATGATACAGATCTATTTTTTTTTTACTTTTGATACATGAGACATACATGTAAGTAATTGCCTGAAAAGTAGGCTTGTGAATGATAATATCAATAAAAATCAGTAACAAACAAAAGTCAGTTAAGTATTGGCTTTTTGGTCCAGACAGATTTTTGATTTTATAATTATATAAGAATAATAATAAATAAAAATTTGCATGAACATCATTAAATGTTTGAAACATCTTAAAAGACACACACTGTGCATATATTTTGTAAATTGTAATAAGTGCTAAATTTACCATAAATGACTGTAACATGGTAACAAAATTATTATTATTTGAGGGAAAACAAAATTCTCCTTACTAAAATGTTGTTCTCCTTAACTAAAACAATCAACTATTAGAAGATAAAAATGAATGCAATTAATCTTCAGCAACTTTGACAATTTCCTATCAGAATATGGAGATAAAAACTAAATTGAACCATGTGTAGCACAATTTAAAAATTCAAATTTTTAAAGATTTTTTCTCTCCTGTATACATGCTTTCTATAAAACTTAATTGATGCCAAATTTTTTAGGTCAATCCTAACCCCAGAAAAAAACAACTTGGGAAAACTAATATTTGCATATTTTAATGATACAGAGTGGCCTTACTACTCTTGAAAAGAATTTTAAAAAAAATTCAGTGTATTTTCAAGTAAAACTTTAATCCCTCATTGTAGCCCCACACTACAACAGGGGGCCATACTAGCACAAACTTAAATCTGTACTACCTGAGGATTTTGCATATTTTAAAATTTGACTAATGATAGCCCCGTTGTTCATGTAAAGAAGACTTTCAAAGATTTTTCACTATATTTTTCCAGGTAAAACTATGAATCCCTATTGTGACCCCAACCAAAGACTGTGATTTGAACAATCTTGAATCAAAACTTTGTCCAGTTGCTTTCACATATATTAAAGTAAATATTTTTGGCCCAGTGGTTCTTAAGGGATATTAAAGTGACTCCACCTTAATTTTGTCTTTTTCATGATTATCTCCCCTTGGAAGAGGGCATGGCTCAGCAACCTTTCATTTCAACAAATTTGGATCCCCCTTCACTAAAGGATACTCCGTGCCAAGTTTGGTTGAAATTGGCTCATTGGTTCTGGAGAAGATGGTGAAAAATTTATGACAACAAACTTTGAGATAAGGTAATTTGGAGACTCAGCTAAGCTAAAGGTAATTTGTTCATTATAGAGTTATCTGTCATGTCGGGGCACTCAATTTTTTTTTGTACAACATCAAAATGATAACTGAGTACATTCATTTAAAACTGTCCTGAATTAGTAGGGCAAATTCTTACAACACAGCTTTTGGAGTAATACACATATCAAAATGAATAATTCATTTTCAAGGCTCCTGTACAGCATTTGGGTCTAAATATAATCACATGTATGTGACTATAAATGCCCATCATCTGCTCTGATCAAAAAACAAGAGCAAAAGAAAAAAAGACAAAGAAATAAATATCTTTTTTTCTGATCAGAGGGGAAAAAATAGAGAGATGGAGAAAGCCTACAGGGACAAAAACATGTATAACTTTAATTTTTCAAAAGTCACATCATCTTATATATTCAAAATTGTGCACACTCATCACTGAAAAAATACATTTGCTGTCTATACAATCTACAGAAGTCATATATAAATGATATGTATGAGATAGATTACATAGGTAACTCTATTAAAGCACTGGAATAATCTCAAAAACAGGACTACGCAAATAAAAAAATAATAGTATTTTGGCATATTTTCACAAAAATTTTTACATCTGCCTAATTCACAAATCCCCGTCATAATCTAATTTGAGCAATTAAGTCAAAAATTTCCCTAGATTTCCATCTTTAAAACGTATAGAATATTTAAGCTAGTAAATCTGTTGTATGAATTTCATCCAGAACAGAATTCTTTCCATGAAAACATGAGTACTAACATAATACTTGAGCTAGCACATTTTTCCACTGGAAAAACTGTCCACTAAGAGAAGGAAAGGTTTGAATTAGCCTTCTTTAATAATCTTTGCTGTCTGTCCATGTGTCACCTTATATCGATACCTAAATATAAAGTGAAAGTACATATGTATATGTAAAACAAAAAAGAAAAAATAACAAAAATTTTGTCACATTTCAGCATTAAAAAGTAGAGCTGGGATGATACAACTTTTTCTATATATCAATATGTGTCACAATATTTGCACCACTATACAATATGTGACACAATATATTTAATTGGTTAAAAAAATTTTTTTTGTATTAAATGAACAAAACATTTCTTCACAAATAAGAATAATTTATTCAAAGAAGTTGAATATCTGTTGTAAAACAAAATTATTTAAAACAAGTGGTGTTAATTATTATGTATTTCATATTTATATTTAGCATATTTATTTTATATATTAAACCCAAAATGTAAAGTAAACAAAGAAAAACATATAAAGTCAGAATATTTTGGCGATATTTCTTCATATGTATCAATATGCGTGTCGTTCTCGATACACATATTATCGATATTATTGATATCTCGATATATCGTCCCCAATCTAATTAAAATTAGATGTTCCGAATCCGCTACCGCTTCTCAAACATCTAACAACATCCCATTCGGGGTCATGTCAGAGTGACCTTTCGATTACCCAATGAAATCGCCGTCTCTGAAATCTTGGCTTATAGTTCGGATGCGTTTTTTTTTTTTTTTTACTGCCAAACCTAAACGCCCCAGGAGTTTCGTAGTAAACAAAATATGCATGGTAAAGACCGTGCTATATATGAATGTGACGTGCGGGATATATAGACGTAACGTTATATGCCTAGTTTGTGCATTTTCGTTTGCGTTATTCAGGTAAGAATGCCAGATTGGCGGACTATACGTTCAATTTATACCAAAATTACTTTAATTCAATGTAAGACAGTCTACTGAGCATCAATAGTGTTATGATGTAGTAGTGGAACTAATCTTAGAATCGTATACAGAAGCCTGAATCTGATTGGCCAAAATTTTTATGTTTATTCATAATCGAAAGGTCTCTCTGACGTGACCCGAATGGGATGTTGTTAGATGTTTGAGAAGCGGTAGCGGATTCAGAACATCTAATTTTAATTAGATTGTATCATCCCAGCCCTATTAAAAAGTGAATGAACAATCCTTCTAGATAACATTCTGAAAGAAAATTTGTCCTTTTTGTTTATTTCATCAAATCATTTGAATTTTATGGGAAATTACCTAATTGCCCTGATGAGATTGATGCCATTGGTGAGAGACATGAAAATATTCACAGTCATCAAGTTATAGTTGACAGGGGTTATCACCACAGAGTATCTAGCCCATATGACACCTGTAAAATTTTAGAACATAGAAAACTCATAAAAACAAACAAACAAACAAAAAAACTATGGAAAGAACATTTATTGGTGACTAGGCTGCTTTTTAATTTCATTTTTGATAAATAGGACTGTATCTGATATTATATTTTTTAATAAAAATTTTATTTTACAAAAATAATCCTCATATAGAAGGTTTGATCCATAACCCTCATAAAATTTTCCAACTTTATCATAAATTCATCATATTACATTGCACGACATTGAATAGTTAAGTAACAAACCTGTGATTACAAGTGAAAGGCTCTGATTGAAACTCAATCTTTCCTCGGGTAACAAAGTGTTACCCAGCCCAGCAAGTGATAGTCCCTGCAAAATATTAAAAGTAAATAAAATACCTATCAGTAGACATACTGATATACATTTTTGTAATTTGATTCTTGTTGTTATGCCCCCGGATCGAAAGATCCCAGGGGTATATTGTTTTTGTCCTGTCTGTCTGTTTGTCTGTTTATCTGTTTGTCTGTCTGTCTGTTGTCAACTTTAACCTTGCCCATAACTTTTGATTGGTTGGAGCTATGACTTTTATATTTCACATGTGTATTCCTTGTGACAAGACCTTTCTTTGGGTACCATCATATTTGACCTTTTGACCTTGACCTTGGAGTTTGACCCACTTTGCAAAATTTTATGAGACTTTAACCTTGGCCATAACTTCTGAACAGTTGGTGCTTGGGGTTTCAAACTTCACATGTGTATTCTTTGTGTCAAGGCCTTCCTTTGGATACCAACAACCATGACCTTTTGGTCTTGACCTTGGAGTTTGACCTACTTTTGAAAAACTTTAATCTTGGTCATAACTTTTGAACAGTTGGAGCCTGGGGTTTCAAACTTCACATGTGTATTCCTTGTGACAAGACCTTCCTCTGGATATCAACCTCTTTGACCCTTTGACCTTGACATAGGAGTGTGACCTACTTTTGAAAAACTTTAACTTTGGCCATAACTTTTGAACGGTTAGAGCTAGGGCTTTCATACTTCACATATGTAATCCTTGTGACAAGACCTTCCTTTGGATACCAACCACTTTGACCCTTTGACCTTGACATAGGAGTTAGACCTACTTTTGAAAAACTTTAACCTTGGCCATAATTTTTGAACGGTTGGTGCTAGGACTTTCATACTTCACATACGTAGTCCTTGTGACAAGACCTTCCTTTGGATACCAACCACTTTGACCCTTTGACATTGACATAGGAGTTTGACCTACTTTCGAAAAACTTTAACCTTGGCCATAACTTTTGAATGGTTGGTGCTTTGGCTTTCATACTTTACATATGTAATCCTTGTGACAAGATCTTCCTTTGGATACCAACAACTTTTACCTTGACCTTGATGTTTTACTTACTTTTAAAAAACTTTAACCTTCGCCATAACTTTTGAACAGTTGCAGCTAGGGCTTTCAAATTTAACATTTTTTATCTTTTGGCCTGGATTTTGACTTGCATTTGAGAAACTTTAGCCTTCGCCATAAGCTGTCATACGGGGGCATCAGTGTTTCACAAACACATCTTGTTTTTCAATGTTTTTTAATTTGCTTTTCTTTAAAATACAGTCAAATCTTGTTCTCTCTAACTCGTCTCAATGGGACCAAAGAAAAACTTCGAGATATACAAGGGTTCAAGATATTTGGGGTAAAATACAAGGAGAAAAGTGATTGGGACTTCTTGATGACTTCTACATAAAATCAATGATATTCAAGATATCAGTGTTCGAGATACTGTTCAACTGTAATTTGTTTTTGTTTTTTTTGTTTATTTCTTAATTTATTTGTTTCCCCAAAAATTTGGTATAGTAATTTTTTTTTCTTCAATTCTGTAACTTTTTTTAATATTTTGAATATGTTGAAAATTAATTTTTGATTTTCCTTATTAGCTCACCTGAGCCGAAGGCTCAAGTGAGCTTTTCTGATCACTTTTTGTCCGTCGTCCATCTGTCCGTCCATCTGATAACTTTTCACATTTTGGACTTCTTCTCAAGAACCATTGGGCCAAATTCAACCAAACTTGCCACAAAGTATCCTTGGGTAAAGGGGATTTAGATTTGTTCAAATGAAGGGCCATGCCCTTTTTCAAGGGGAGATAATTAGGAATTAGTGAATAAATAATGGCATGATTCAAAAATCTTCTTCTCAAGAACCACTGAGCCAGAAAAGATGAAACTTAAGTGGAAGCATCCTCAGGTAGTGTAGATTCAAGTTTGTTCAAATCATGACCCCTGGGGGTAGAATGGGGCCACAATGGGGGATCAAAATTTTACATGGAAATATATAGGAAAATATCTTTAAAAATCTTCTTCTTAAGAACAGCAAAGCCATGACTGATCATATTTATATGAAAGCATCCTCAGGTAGTGTAGATTCAAGTTTGTTCAAATCATGACCCCTGGGGGTAGGGTGGGGCCACAATGGGGGATCAAAGTTTTACATGGAAATATATAGGAAAATATCTTTAAAAATCTTCTTCTTAAGAACAGCAAAGCCATGATTGGTCATATCTATATGGAAGCATCCTCAGGTAGTGTGGATTCAAATTTGTTCAAATCATGACTCCTGGGGGTAGGGTGGGGTCACAATGGGGGATCAAAATTTTACATAGAAATATATAGGGAAATATCTTTAAAAATCTTCTTAGGAACAGCAAAGCCATGATTGGTCATATTTATATGGAAGCATCCTCAGGTAGTGTGGATTCAAGTTTGTTCAAGTCATGACTCCCCCACCCCCCTGGGGGATAGTATGGGGCCACAATGGGGGATCAAAGTTTTTCATAAGAGTATATAGAAAAAACTTTAAAAATCTTCTTCTCAAGATCAACAAAGCCATGATTGGTCATATTTATATGGAAGCATTCTCAGGTAGTGTAGATTCAAGTTTGTTCAAATCAGGGCCCCCGGGGGGTAGGGTGGGACCACAATGGAGGATCAAATTTTTACAAATGAATGTATGGGAAAAAAATCTTCTGCTCAAGAACAGCAATGCCATATGTTATATTGATATGAAAGCATCATCAGATACATGTAGTTTAAAATTCAAAGAGTCTGGAAAATTGAATTGTCCACAGGTGGACACACAGGTGGACAGACAGTGTCATACCATAATTCATGTAAGTTCATCTTAAGACAGGTGTGTAAAATAAAAAAACAAACAAACAAAACATGAACAAACAAACAACATTATGCACCAATTACACCACCTTGGTCCAACAACACCACATAAAACTCCACTGGAGATTAAAAAAAAATGAATTTGCTAATTTTCTTACCCATTTCATTGCTGGTGCCCAAAAATGAATGTACTTAGGACCTGAAAGAAAAAGATGTTATGGATACTTGTATGTGCTGAAAAAGAAGTACTTCTGTAAGTAAAGAAAAATAAAATGCTCACTGTGTATTTTGACAATAGCAGAGAGTTAATTGTTAAAATGTTGTGAAAACTATCAGAAATGTAAATCTATTGACAGAGTTCATCAACAATTATCTATTTCTAAGTTAATGAAAGCGATCAAATTTTTGAAACAGAGGCAGGCTAGTGAAAAATAAGTAAATGTTCCAGGGTTTTCAATGATTATCCAGTATAATTTCGCAAATTCTATGATTTTTATATTTATATTGACCTTGTTTACGAATACTTTGGATTGTATTATGACTGACATGTTCAATTGTTTTTATACCATTTTGCTATATGGATTAAAGAGGGCTCATGGCAGGTGTGATCAGTTGATAGAAGAACTGATGCTTACTGCTCCTAGGCACCTGATCCAACCTCTGGCATTTCCAGGGGTCCGTGTTTTTGCCCTGTTCACGATTCGTATTCTTTACTGGACTTAAGCAATCAATCACAGTTTATCTTCACCTTTTCATTTGTCAAAAGCAACAACTTGCGACTGTACCTGGTTTTAATTTAATGTTATTTCAATCCAAAACATCCCAACTGCAAGTTATATAATGAGCAGCTGATGAGAGTATGCAGTTGGAAAAAAGTAAAATAATTGAGATTATAATATTGAAAATAAATCAATTTTTAATCAATGACATGTATGATGTAAAACAACATAGTCAGATAGTGACATAAGAAAATTCGGTATGCCGTAACGGTATGGGTTTACAACAACCTGGTCGCATTTTAGAATTATTGTTTCAAAGCAGACCTGCAGGATGGTTCCAGAATGCTTGGTACTTCTGTGGAACAAGCCGATCCCCTGTTCTGCATATAGCTCGATATACAAAAGCCATTTTGCCAGCAGTGAACCGACAAGTCCAATATTTATTTTTTGAAGGTTAGTGATTATAGTTTTGTATTTCGAACCCGATGCAAATTACGAACAGTTCTTTTTACCTACATTTAATACACTCCCTTTATGATCCACTTACAGATAAAACAAAGACAGATCCGCCCAGAAGGACGGGAGACAGTGTGTTCTTAATGTACTCCTGGTATTTGAAGTGCAAATGTAAATTGAAATTGATCTGAAGAGTAAATCTGTTGTATTTTTACTTTTTCAATCCATTTCTCAAAAATTATACACGTGTACCCAAAAGTGAAGACAAACTTTAAAAAAAATCCCGAAAACAACAACTCGATATATGTTTATATATATAAGTAAAAAGGTGTGGTCGCATAGAGTTAAATATTTAAAAAAAAAATTCTCAATAAAATTCTATAGAATGTTTGAAAAAAAATTGATTAGATTTAAAAGAGTGATGCCAAAAATGAAGAAATGTGAACATCAGAGAAAGTCTATAAATTCTTAATATTTTAGCAATTTGATGAATGCGTCATTTATAATCAAAATATGTGCAAAAATACGTTTTACACAAAGAAAGTCTATTTTAGCGACAGAAGTGATCAATCCTGCACACACACTATAATATATATATATATATATAAACCTATGCTAGTATCAGAAAACGAGTTATTAATACACATATAAGATATTACTAATAGCGTGAAAATTCGTAGGATGTCAATATTATTATATGCTCATGCACACTCACTGGCGTTTTGAACATGCATCGTCCTGTTATCATTAACTCATTATCTGCAGATATGAATGAAGAATATGATTTGCAATTAGATAATGAGTTTAATGACTCTGCTTCAAAGATAGCCTGACCCGTGTTATTTGAGACACAAAGAATACCATCGTTAACACATAAAAATTGAGCGAAATGATAATTAATTAGGGAATATTTTCAATTATCAATGTGAAGAAGTTGTCTCGCCTTTTCTTGTGCCGAGATTCAATTTTTTTTCCCCTCCTTGAGATCTACTGTAAGTACATGTATAATAAATAAACGATGCTATTTTAAAAAGTTATTTAAATTATATGTAATAAAGAAATGTCCTTTAACTTTCTCCCCATGTATTGACCTGTATTCTATATATATCTTATTATAGGTCTCTTATCAATGAATCCTCTTTGGTCGCCTGAAATAATCTAATTATGGTAAAGAAGGTTATGATTTCTTTAATTTTTATAAGTCAAAAATTTCCATAAAATCAAGCCCATTGCCATGCAGAGACTAAATTTTCTTGATATTTTTTTTTAGTTTAGTTTAAAATATATTTTATTCATTACAAATGAAATGGATTGAACAGCAGGCATAATGCCTATAATCGTTCTCTCCATAGGTCAAGGTACATATAACAATTATTGGTACATTTAACATTGAAAACAGTATGTAAAATAGATCATTAATTGGTACATATATAAGGTGAATCCAGAGAAAAAGAGAGTAAAATAGAGAGAAAAAAAACATAATAAAGTACATTTAACATTGAAAAGCAGTATATAAAATAAACCATTAATTGGTACATGTATAAAGTGAATCCACAGAGGGTGAAAGAGAGAGAGAGTAAATAGAGACAGAGAAAGACCATAAAAAAAAACATAATAAAGTTGACTCAGAGTGGAAAAACTTCCTTAACATGCCTAAAATAAGATATTATTCTTCCTAGCATATCATGATAAACTAAGATTTCAGTGAAAACCTCTTTGAGTTTCTTATAAAGGTATGTATATGATCAAAAAATGAAAAGTTGTCTTCTAAACATAAGGATTCAGCACCATATAGTATATTATATATATTAATTGGTATGTCATTCTCATTCATATATTTAATCAGCATCTGTCTTTGAAGAACATACTGTGGGCAATACATGAAAAAATGTAATGAATCTTCAATTTGGTATCCACAATTTGTACATTTTGGTGAATCATTGAGGTGGTCTTTAAAAAGATCAGCATTGAGGTTACTACATTTATTTCTCAACTGGCAATGTAGTATATTTTCAATTCTATTCCCATAATTGTACAACTTAACTTTATTTTTCTGGATGGGATTGGTGTAGGTTAATCTTTTTTTGAAATTTTGCAATGTAGGGGAAGTTCTACAATCATCAGGTAAATTATTCCATAAGGATATTGCGGATGGTACAAAACTATTATAGTAAGACACTGTTCGAGTGATTGGGATACGATATGAGTTTTGATTGCGTAAATTGTAATTATGCTGAATTGGCATACATCCCTCGAGCATATTATACATGTAATCAGGGGTAAGGTTATTAAGGATTTTATAAATCAGTGTGAGCTTATGCTTTTCCCTCCTTGAACTTAAGGTTTCCCATCCCAACTCATAATATAGGTTAGTTTTGGATGTATTGCACCTAATACCTGTAATTATTCTTGCAGCTTCCACCTGAACACTTTCCAGTAATTTGGATTGTTCTTCAGTGCAATTATCCCATACCACATCCCCATATTCTACAACTGGTCGAACAAATGAAAGATATATTTTGATTAGCAAGTCCCTTTTCAATTTATATTTAAGTGTACGCAATATATTTAGTCGTAAGCAAGCTTTCTCATAAATTGTTGTAATATGTTCGGACCACCCCCCATTAGACTGTAATGTCAGCCCTAGATGACAGTGACTTTGATTCTGAGAAATACTATTCATTGTGTTCCCAAATGAGATATTTGGGTGTACTCGTTGAGTTCTGGTAAAATTAACATTTACTGTCTTCGTAGAGTTAAATTCAACTAGCCATTGATGAGACCATTGCCTTATTTTTTCAAGATCATCAGTAAGAGATACTGCTGGGCTGACTGTGTCAGCATCTACAATAACAAACAAGGATGTGTCATCTGCAAACAGTCTTATTTGATTTTGTATGTTTTCAGTTATGTCATTGATATAGATAAGAAAAAGAAATGGACCCAAAACTGACCCTTGCGGGACTCCAGCATTAACACTTTCCAATCCAGAGGAGTATCCTTCTAACACTACCTTCTGGACTCTATCACAGAGAAAATTCTCAATCCAACTTAAGATATCACCTGTGAAACCATACTGTTGTAATTTATATAACAGTCCTTTATGCCATACTTTATCAAAAGCCTTAGATATGTCACAAAAGACAAATCTAACATCTTTACCTTGGTCAAGGTTCGATATAATTGTGTTATAAATTTCAACAAGTTGATTAACAGTGGAGTCACCTGGCTGGAAGCCTGACTGGTTCTTAGAGAGAAGATTGTGATTAAACATATAATTGTACAGATATTTAAATACAATTTTTTTCATGATTTTACACAGACTACTGGTAAGTGAAATTGGTCTGTAGTTTGCTGGGTCTTCTGGGCTCCCTTTATTTTTGAATACAGGTGTTATATCCGATTGCTTCCAAATATATGGTATTTTATTAGTTTTTAGGGAGAGATTGAATAATTTAGTGAGAGGTCTGCTTATGGCAGGAATTATATTTTTTAATACTTGTGGTGCAATTCCATCAGGACCAGGAGGTTTTGATATGTTTAAATTTTCAAGTTGATCAATAACATCTTGAGTTGAAATACTTATGGAATCTATAGAATACGGGGGACCAGGTCCTTGAGGGGGCAATTGGGGTTCTCTATGATGTTCAATTTGAGAAATCTCTGCAAAATGTTTATTCAGTTGGGTAGCCTTATCAGTGGGATGGATGAAAATATTACCATTAGATTTCAGTGGTGGAGGTACTTTGTTTTTATTGGCAAATTTAGTTAATGATTTCACAATTCTCCACCATTTACCAGGAGGAATAGTTTTGTCTAAGATTTGTGACGTAATCTTTTGTTTGTAAGTATCCTTAGCCTGTCGTACCATAGTTATAACTTCGTTCCTTAGACTCCGATATTTACTCCACTGATAATCACTATTAGTCTTTTTTGCTTTATAATGTACCCTATTTCTTTGTCTCATTTTACGTCTAATTGAACTTGTCATAAAAGGTTTATCAGATGGGCGAATTACAACAACTTTTTTAGGTATATTTTTGTCAACATGGTAATTATATACTCTAGTAAAATTGGTATAGACTTCATTAATGTTTTGAGTATTAAAAACCTCTCCATCCCAATCCACATCTGAGAGATTTTTATTAAGTGATTTATAATCAGCCTTTGAGTAATTTCTAACTACTCTTTTGTATGCACATTGTTTAAATGTTTTGAATTTTACATCAACACCCACTGGACTATGTGTGCTGCAAAATGGGGTTAGCACTACCACTGATTCAACTTTTTCAGTATTGTTTGTAAGTATAAGGTCAATGCATGTTCCCTTTTGTGAAGTAAAGTTAGTTTTTTTTTGGAAGATGAATGTAAAATACAAGTGTAGATAAATGTCTATTGTGACCGTGTTTTTGAGTGCATGTATATATGTGCCCTTTTTTTACCGGCCAACACCAAAAATGTATATTTGAAGTGGTTAGAAAATATAAAAACATGCAATTGTAATTCTACATGTATATTAGAAATTGAAAAAAGAGAAAATATAACCCAGAAATGCAGTTAAAGTTCAGACTCTTTAGTATGGCGTACTGATTGCTTTTCTAATAAATTCACAGAGTGAGCTGCTGGTGTGGTTTTGTGGTTCTTTAATTAATTAGTTATAATTAACATTTACAAAATGAACAGGAAATACCAGGTTAAAAATGGATAATCATCATTATATGTAATGTGAATTAAATATACTCAGCTGTTTTCAATTGACCTTATGATAGTTATCTGAACTGAACATAACACATATTGCTTATATACGTTGTTAAAAATAGCTCGGGAAGTGAGATATAAAGTTTGCTTTGCAAAAATATCAAGTTTTCTTTCTTTATTTTATTTACCGCATAATTTCAACTTTGACCTTTCCCATAATTGCATTTCGGCACGGAACTACAGTATGATTTCAAAATTGAAGGAAGAAACCATTCAGCTACCATGTTGTAAA